GGATGCGGACCGGCAACTTGGAACAACTTTAAGGTGAGCATCTACCTATCTGTTCCCTCCCCTGAATCCAGATCCTACTAACTTTCCCGCAACCCTCGCCCCCCACACCCCCCGCGGTCCTCCCCTCTCTATGTCCCTGTGTGCAAAGTTGCTGGCACTTCTCACCCCAGATACCTATGACTCGGCCTGAGTGACCTAGCAGGTGTCTCTGCACCCATGCTGCCTTTCTCGATCACCTCTCCCTTCTCAGATCCGACCTGTCCTCCCGGCCGCGTGGACTCTGAGCAAGTGGGCAAGCGAGAAGATGCCTCGGCCCGGCCGCAACACGTACAGCGACCAGAAGCCTCCCTACTCCTACATCTCGCTGACCGCCATGGCCATCCAGAGCTCTCCGGAGAAGATGCTGCCGCTCAGCGAGATCTACAAGTTCATCATGGACCGCTTCCCCTACTACCGGGAGAACACGCAGCGCTGGCAGAACAGCCTGCGCCACAACCTCTCCTTCAACGACTGCTTCATCAAGATCCCTCGGAGGCCGGACCAGCCGGGGAAGGGCAGCTTCTGGGCGCTGCATCCCAGCTGCGGGGACATGTTCGAGAACGGCAGTTTCCTGCGGCGCCGCAAGCGCTTCAAGGTACTCAAGTCTGACCACCTGGCACCCAGCAAGCCAGCGGACGCCGCGCAGTACCTCCAGCAGCAGGCTAAGCTGCGGCTCAGCGCGCTGGCCGCCTCCGGCACGCATCTGCCGCAGATGCCGGCCGCTGCCTACAACCTGGGCGGTGTGGCGCAGCCCTCTGGCTTCAAGCATCCCTTCGCCATAGAGAACATCATCGCCAGGGAGTACAAGATGCCTGGTGGACTGGCCTTCTCTGCCATGCAGCCGGTTCCTGCTGCCTACCCGCTCCCCAACCAGTTGACTACCATGGGCAGCTCCCTGGGCACAGGCTGGCCACATGTGTACGGTTCAGCGGGTATGATCGACTCGGCCACCCCCATCTCCATGGCAAGTGGCGACTACAGCGCCTATGGAGTGCCGCTGAAGCCTCTGTGCCACGCCGCGGGTCAGACGCTGCCCGCCATCCCGGTACCCATCAAGCCCACGCCGGCCGCAGTGCCCGCGCTGCCAGCGCTGCCCGCGCCCATACCCACTTTGCTCTCGAACTCGCCGCCTTCGCTTAGCCCCACTTCCTCGCAAACAGCCACTAGCCAAAGCAGCCCTGCCACTCCTAGCGAGACACTCACCAGCCCGGCCTCCGCTTTGCACTCGGTGGCAGTGCACTGACCCACAGAAGCTGGGGCTCTTTCGTGGTCACCTCTCCACCATCCCTCTCACCACTTTCCCGACTCCGGGTCCAGCCGTCTCTGACCTAGAATTGCCATCCTGACTTGCCCATTCCACCTTCTTCCTTCAATCCTCTCTCCTGGGAGAACTTTTGATATTGTTCCCAGAGACAAACCACAAACTTGCCAGAAGGCGCATGAAAGTTGTCTTCGCCCCTCCAGGGCACCAGAGAACACAGGGGCGAACCCAAGCCAAATGGTCCCTCCGAGAGTCCCAGAAATGCACTCCCATACAATAGGCAGGACACCCTGATTCCCTCCTGATCGGAGAAAACACAAACAAGCAAACAACAACAAAACACGCATCTTCTGAGCTTGGATCCGCAGGGTTTTGTACCCTGCGCAATTACAAAACCTGAGACACTGCTCGGGAGTGAAGCCCGCCAAGGCTGCAGTCGCACAAGGAGGACCAGATCTTCCTAGGTCCGGAAAATCTGTGACCACGGACCCACTAATCTCCCTACAGGCTCGCCTCCGCCCATCAGGCCGGGATGGGCGGAATGCTCCTTCCCTAGCGGGCTCCTAAGGAAGATAATTTTTCTTTCCTTTTGGGTTTTGTTTCCGGCTCCCTTAGCTGGGAATGAGGAAAGAGGCTGCTAAACTAGGGAGGACTCTTGTCCTTCACAAATGCAAAACACAGCTAGAAGTCACCGTTATTGTTTACAAAGCGCGCGGTTTAAAAAAAAAAAATGTAAACAGTGAACTTGAGCAACTGCCTGGCTAGGCGGGCGAGGGAGCAGAGTCCTCTTTACAATTACCTGTTGTAATGTGAATGTTTACTCTTCCGGCCAGCTTTTTTTGGGGGGAGGTATGGGGGGGGAATGGGGAAGTTAATTGGGATGTTAACTTTCTTACTATTTAGAGACCTTTTTAGCTATTTATTTTGATGAAGAAAGAAAGGAAAAGAAAAGAGAAACAAACGTGAACTAAGCCCAACTAAGAAAGTACCTAGGGCAAGTGGGGAAGAATGTAGATGAACAGACTGGGAACGTGAAGGGCGATGTCAATAGAGATGTCCCCCGGACAGATCTTTCTGTTAGAAGAACTTTTCCGTGAAGCTAAAGGGCTGCAAAGAGTTGTAAATAGGAATGATTTACACTGTGTAAAATGCACTTTGGTTTGGTATGTTCCTTTTAGCGTCTTAGGTAATTGACTGAAAAAACAAAAACAAAAACAAACAAACAAAAAGAACAACCGCAAAGTTGTTCCGGTGTGACCTGCTTAATTTAAAAATGAAACTGTAGTGTTGTCCAAGCTGTGAAAAAAATTCCCCTTTTATTTTTCTTCCTCCCTGCACAGAATTCGCATGGCATTTTAAATATTGATGTCCTTGTTCCCAGCATGCCCATTTTAAGACAGAGTTTTAAAAAGGTGTCTACATTAAATTATGACCTAGTCTAAATAATATTTTCTCATTAAAATATGTAAATTCAAATTTTGTTAAGTTTTGTGTGTTTTTGAAGACTTGCTACAAGGGACAATAGATGGTAGCAGCAGACACTGCAAACACATCATCTGGGGTTTGCCATTTTTAAATCATGTTGTGAAAACAGAGAAACTTCATTCGCACTTGTAGGTGTTGGGGGAATTATTCTAGGGGATCATGGAAGACATTTGTGCACAGGAGGAGAGTGAGGCCAAGTATTTCAGATGCAAACCCCAGGCACAGGTGCAATGCTGGAGGAAAACACACTGAACAACTGCAGTACTTGCTGTGTGCGTTACTATGTTTATCTGTCTTAAATGTGCCTTCTAGGACATCTTACATACACAGAAGGCTGGGTTGTAAAGTTCTCCCAGGTTGGGCTACTCAGTCCTTGGTACTTCTGACCCAGAGGAACCCTTTCTTTACTCCTTTAAATCATTGGAGTTGCTGACATTTCCTTTCTTTCAGAAATCACCTGAAGGTTCACTGTCCAGGTCAGGAAACTTGTTCACTTTCATTGAGTAGATTTCTTCCAGACCTTCCTGTGAGGAAAGAAAAAAAAAAAAAAAAAAAAATTTTCAAGTTGTGAATGAAGTGTCTTTAAATGCCTGCCTCTAAGTACTTTCTTTCTTTCTTTCTTTCTTTCTTTCTTTCTTTCTTTCTTTCTTTTTCTTTCTTTCTTCCTTCCTTTCTTTCTTTCTTTTTTTTTTGCAAAGAATTAAAACTCGTCAAGAATTATGGTTCAAGGCTAATTGACACTTGATTGAAGGGGGGGGGGTCACAATATTTCCAAAGTAAGATATGTATACAGCTGAAGAAGTTACAAGACAAAGAGAAACTTAAATGATGATTAACACTTTACTGTGTAAATGATTAAACAAGGAAGCCTTGTGAAACACAGAGAAAGCCTCCAAAGACACATAGAAACCATACTGAAGTACTCCATAAGGAGACCCCTGAACACCTGTCACCATGTAATTAGTGGGCTACCTGGAAAAATATCTCAGATTAATGCAAAACATAATTAATCCTGTTGTGACTATTCTATTTTTAAAAGGGAAGGATCTCACACACAACACACACTAACACACACACACACACACACACACACACACAAGTAGAAAATAAATGAATCACTGAGCTGATTAAAATGCATGAAGCTTCCAAAGCCAGTCAGACAGCGGACAACTAAACTCATTCATCAAACCTAATTCACAATTATATCAACAAGATCAGCCAGAGCAAGCCTGGAAAACGTAACCACCCTTGGTTAGGAAACTTAGTTCTCAACAAGAAATCATCTTTAAAAAGAAAGCTAAATACACGTTCAGTGCCCTAAAAAATACAATTAAGACAGCCTCTGGGAGAAACTCATCTTATCCAGTTTGTTAACATGGGAGGCTGGCAATGAGGTGAAAAAAGGCTCATAAGGCCTCTGGCATCCCAGAGATTCAGACTATGGGGTAAGTGGCATGTGCCAGAGTCACAGAGTCAGGAGGCAGCGAGGCACAGACCTTATCTCTGCCATCTAGCAAAAGAAAGAATTTAACTCAGTGTCTGAAAATGTGATTTTTAGCTGCTAAGTTTGTCATGGTGTGTTGAAAAGAATGAAATAACTTGGCCATTATGAGTCCTTTTGGGTCCCAGGCATTTTCCTCCCTCAGTCAAAGTTGAATGAGGAAAGGGGGGAACACAACAACTATGATATTTTGACCTTGACCAGAATTTTAGAGACTACTCAAACAGACATGACTTACCCAGGTTCACACCAGCCATGACCTCAGTTTGGAAACCTGTGTGGATTTAGCTAAAGTGTCTGACAAAAAAAAAGGAACTTCATAACTGATGCCTTTCATGGTTCTCCTCTCTGTCACGTGAGATAGTCACTTGGCTTACATCCAAAGTCAAGACCTATGGTTTTAAAATAGAGTTGGATGGGACAGCACCTACTCTGCACTAGAAAGAGGTGTGTGTGTGTGTGTGTGTGTGTGTGTGTGTGTGTGTGTGTGTGTGTGTTCTAACCTAAGATAGGCTGTATTCCTTTCTACTTTCCAAATCCAGGCAGTATTGATTTTCTATTTGGAAACTTAGCTGTTTTCTTTCTTTGGAGACTTAGCTATTTTGTTTCTTTGGAGTTCTTCCTGGTCTTGTATTTAACTATATTTTAAACGGCTTTCTCCATGGTTTCAGCAGTGTTTAAACAATAGATGGACTTCTTCCACTTCCTCCAGAGGGAAGCTGCTGAGTTTCTTGCTGTTCCTCACTTACAGGGGGGGCTTTGGGAAGTTGAAGATTGAAAGGAACCCTGAGACACGGTTCCCAGTGACTTAAATACTAAACCAGTGACTTTCCTTTCCTCCAATGGTTAAGAATACTGAGTATCTTAGAAGCAGGAAGCAGATCCAGAGCTCTGGAGGGGTGGGGGTGAGGAAGCATACTTGCAGGAGCTCAGACCAGTAAGTAGTTTTAACACTGTCTCACTCACTTGCCAATGTAGTGGAAGACTGCAGGGCTGAGGCCCGGGTCAGACTTTTACAAATGGGAACTCCCTTTGTCAGGCACATTCAGCTGACAGTCAGAATAGAGTGGGATCCCTTCCTAAATTCTTAATATAAATGCCAATTAATATCTTTTTCTTCTAAAAGCCAAGCAAGTGCAGAGACACCCAAACAAAAACAAAACCAAAACAGCCCAACCCACCGGCTGCGAAGTCTCAAAGGGGATGCATTTGTTTCGTCTAAACTAACAACAAATTATCTAATTAATATGTTTCAATTACAGTGTGAAAGGGACAGCCCCAGGACCTCCCGCCGTGGGGGCACAATAGCCCCAGAGCCCACTCCAGGAATTTACAATAACTGCACATCTGTCTCTTTATTTTCCACTTTTTGAGTCTAAAACTCCTCTCCAGATCACTTCAAACCATCGCTTGAATTATGAAATATGTCCCAGTGTTAAAGGGGGATGAAACTTTGCCCACTGATGCTTCATTTGCAAGCCAAAAAAAAAAAAAAAAAGTGAAAGCCCATTGAAGAGCATTAAACAAATATATTAGAATTCTGTCACTTTATGCAATTGAGTAGATCAAATGAAGGGTCCCGGCCACTTCATTCACTCTCATTCACTCGAATAGAAAATGCAAAGAATAGCAACCGAGACTGGGCCACCGCTGTAGACTTAGCTCCTTTTACTGGGAGACAAAAAGGCTGAATTTTCACAAATACATTGCTGACTTGGGGACTAGGAAACGGGGCCTGGAACCCCTTTGGAATTTAAATTCATTTTATCTTCCTCCCTCTTTACAGGGATCTGTTTGCACTACAGTGCCGAGATGCAGCAGGCTTCTTGGGGCAGCTGAAAAAAGTGGGGGAGGGGAAGAGAGTGAGTGGGGGAGGGCAATGTGGATTCCCAGGGAACTAACTCTTGGCTATCAATTAACACTCAGGTCTGAGATGATAAGTTTGGGTTTAGCAAATCTTTGTCTACATCAATATAAACACCGTAACATCACACGA